CTCCACACCTCCAAGGACCCCAGTGTGTGTTTAACCACAGCCCTCGTGCTGCAGCTCCCTGTTCCCCTCGTCAGCACAGAGCTCCCAGCGCCGCTGCCCCAGCCCTGCCAGCAGCCGGGTTGTCTCAGCAGTTCCAAGCCCTGGGCCCTGATGGAAGCAGCTGTTTGCCAGCGAGGCAGAGCCTGGCAGCCGTGCCACAGCCCGTGCCAAGCCAGGGAGCTGCGACAGAGAACAGACCCCTGCTAATCCATCAGGCCATTCTCCATGGGAACAACCGGGCTGGTGGATGTTGATATCTGCTGAACAAGCAGGATTAGTGCCAGGGTGTGGGTTTCTGGGGACCCCTTTACAAATCCAAAGTGCCCCATGGATTAAGTGCCACCTCAGAGTCCCAGCCTCCCCCATCCCTGGTGTCCCTGTGCTCCCGCAGAGCCACAGCTGGTGAGTGGCTGGTTGGAGAGGAGAAAAATCCCATCATCAATCAGAGCTGGGAGTGAGAGCAGAGCCGGGTGATTTAGGTGACTGGTCACCCCCGTAACCTATGATGAGCTGCGAGTCAAGGAGAGAGAAATAAGAAGGTGACAGGGGCTGGCATCTGTTTGCATAAAGTCACTTCTGCACAGAAGGGATCTGGCACCCAGGGATGTGATAAATCCCCCTCGCCACGGCCGTGTCCTCAGGTGAGGCGGCTTTGGAAGGACGACAGGGGCTCAGCCTTGGGTTACTGTCTGGGGAACGCTCATGTCGGCTGGTGTGGGACCCCAGGGGTGCTGGATCTCCAATGTGGGACCCCAGGGATGCTGCATCTCCAATGTGGGACCCCAGGGATGCTGGATCTCCAGTGTGGGACCCCAGGGATGCTGGATCTCCAGTGTGGGACCCCAGGGATGCTGGATCTCCAGTGTGGGACCCCAGGGATGCTGGATCTCCAGTGTGGGACCCCAGGGATGCTGGATCTCCAGTGTGGGACCCCAGGGATGCTGGATCTCCAGTGTGGGACCCCAGGGATGCTGGATCTCCAGTGTGGGACCCCAGGGATGCTGGATCTCCAGTGTGGGACCCCAGGGATGCTGGATCTCCAGTGTGGGACCCCAGGGATGCTGGATCTCCAGTGTGGGACCCCAGGGATGCTGGATCTCCAGTGTGGGACCCCAGGGATGCTGGATCTCCAGTGTGGGACCCCAGGGATGCTGGATCTCCAGTGTGGGACCCCAGGGATGCTGGATCTCCAGTGTGGGACCCCAGGGATGCTGGATCTCCAGTGTGGGACCCCAGGGATGCTGGATCTCCAGTGTGGGACCCCAGGGATGCTGGATCTCCAGTGTGGGACCCCAGGGATGCTGGATCTCCAGTGTGGGACCCCAGGGATGCTGGATCTCCAGTGTGGGACCCCAGGGATGCTGGATCTCCTATATGGGACCCCAGGGATGCTGGATCTCCATTGTGGGACCCCCAGGGACACCAGGTCTCTGGCACAGACCATGATGGGGTGATGGCTGCAACTGAGACATACTGGGGACTCTGCAGTTCCTGGTCCCCTCCTGTCCCATGCCAGTGTCACACTGTGACACCTCACAGCTGCACTGCGCTGCACTGTGCAGCCCCCTCCCCCT